TTGTTAAATTCTAATGAATAATGAACAAGACGTGCTTTGAAACTGGTTGGGAGACCATGTAAAATTAGGTAGAAGCTACCGGAAAATGGGAAGTTTAAAATCTTATTTAAAATTTAAATCTTTTAGCAATAATATAAAGAAAAATGAACATTGAAAATGAACAGTTAACATATGTGTGTCTAGTATGAGTGTGTGTGATGGTGACAGCACTTTATGTCTTGTATGTGTTAGTTTGGGGTACTATTATTTCCTGATTTTGAGGATATTGTGTCATTAACCTCTGGAATTAGTGTTTTATCATTACAGATGGGTTAAGTGAAATGACCAACTTTAGAAAAGTTGATAATTCTAAGTCAATCTGATGAAAAGACAATGCAGAACATGGGACGAGCTTTAATTGGAGTGGTTCTCCAGCTCTGTCTGCTATTGGTAATTATGAATGCTTTTGTCATTTATGATATTGAACTGAATTACTCTCTGGATTAGTATTTTATATAAATTGGAATTGTAAAGAAGATTGCCGTCCATTCTGGGGTAAAACTCTTGTCTAAATTCAACTGAGGGTCTAAATTTAAATAGACAACTAGGTGGGATCATAAGGATAAACGTAGGAAAAAAATATATATATATATAGACTTGACGGCAGAGAGACAAAGTGGCACATTGGCTAAGTCACTATCCAAATTATCCAGAGTGAGCTCCCTCATTTTTATTGAAAGGCCGGAGGGCGAACAAAGAAGGAGTGAATATAACTTCTAAAAAGAAAAGGTTTTATTTCTCAATCCCTTAAATGTATGTATGACATTAGATGTCTAAGAAAACTACAATTTAATAAAGGTAAAAAGAGAAAGCAGCTATATGGCTGGCTGGGATCTGAGTAACATAATATTTTGGTTTCTGTAAAGCTGTAAAGATAAGTGGAACTGAGACAAATACTGTGAGAAGTAGTTGTAATGAAAAATAAAGTTGAAGTTAATGATAAGAAAACAAGAGTATTGAAGAAGTAATAAAATATCATGATTTCCCTAACGAGGGAACTTTAAGTGTCACTAGGCTGACAGTGGGGAGAGCTTCGGATGCAGAAGGAACTGGCATGTAGGGCAAGATGGAAGAAATATAGTAGAAAAAAAAATGTATGTTATGAAATATAACTTCTGATAGGATTTATGGAAGTCAAATTAAGTTTAAATGGTATGAAAAAGGTTAGGGTTAGACATTGTATGATTGACAGGGATTCAAGTGATATAAGGATAAGGAATGAACAAAAGCTTTATTAAGCAGAATGGGGAACGATCCTATATTTTAGTGGTAAAATAATGACTGAAATGATGATGTGAATTTGTTTTATTTTATTTCTATTTTTGAAACAAACAAAAAAGGGTATAAGATGTTATACAATTAAAATGGTACATGCTATGTGACTGTAAACTGAAGGATGATTTCAGTAAAGACTTAAAGTGCTTACATCGATTATTATGGGTCTTAATTATTAATATTTTATTGTTTGTTGTTTATTTTTAGTTAGACAACCATTGTGTTTTAAACCTAAAGGGTCTATAAAAGGGGTAGTGAAAATAATGGATTAACCATCCAACTTTGTTTATAATAAAAGGATTTGGAAATCATAATATTATTTTTTTTTAAAAACTAGTGCATATATTCTGGTATTCATGATTATAGACAATGTCTTTATTTAGGATCTGAGTAGTGACTGTGGATCTAGCCCATGCTAGTAGGAATACAGCAATAGTGCTTGCTTATTTAGCCTGGCTTCCAAAGAAAAAATATGTACTTGTTTCGTAATCAGTTATGTGTTTTATAAAAATTTTAACCTGACTGATAAACTGAGGAAGAATGACATTGATGTCCTGTTGTGAGTGGAAGGTGGGAGAGCCTCTTAATGGGGACTGGAATTTTTAGTATCCAGCATGTCCATGACGAGGTGAAGAGACAAGTGTGACCCGTCAGGGGAGCATGCGTCACCACTCCTCCCTTCCGTAGTGACCTCACTGGTTAGACCAGACGTGGCGGTATTGGACCCCACATTGGTCTAAAACGGGGGACTGAAGGGTTGGTCAAAATCCCTTGCCTCTTCAAATACATATATAATCATATATCATTTTGAATGGTTATATACTTCCTTTATAAAAATCAATAATCAAATATATTCATTATCACATAATAATTTTTATATTCTTGTGCTTGTGAAATTATATTTTATTAAATGCATGGATGCAAGTAACCAGTTTCTTTTAGGTGCATTCCAATCTTACTTAGAGGTTGCACGTAGTACACGCCGGACACGAAGGCCACTTAACCCACAAGGCCGTTTGTCTCTTTCTCTGGGATCAGTAGAAAGGTTAGAGGGTCCTAAAGGCAGCGTGGACACATATGATTCTTCGCTGGACATATGGTCAAGCTATATTGAGCGTTACTATCAAACTTTAATTGTTGTATTAAAATGTATTCTTTCCAGTATATTTCCTTCCTTGGGAGTAAATGCCAGTTATCAGTTTTTCTCCCAAATGAGTGAATGTTTTAGCATTATGTTTTGGTATACTTAACTGATAATAAGGAGCTCAGACTCTCTTCAGCCTTGATGGGAGCTGTTATTTGCTAGTGTCTGTTATTTGTGTGTGTGTGCGTATGACATTCTATGTAGGTTCTGGACGGTCGGACCAGACACCCCGGCGCCCTTCTCTAACCTGCGAGGCCACCACAGACCTAAATCCAATGAGTGGACGACAACTATCTTTACTAATGGCGATAGGCACCCCTATCTCCTCACATGTGTTAAATTGTTTAGGCTTTCATGTTTCTTAGCCAATGAGAATCATTCAACCTGTAAGCAATGACGTAGCTTAGACCTTGGAAATGGTATAACTGCTGTGATCTTTGTAACTGTAAGCGGGGCGGCCTACGAACTCCTGTGTGAGTCTTGAAGCTGACTTCTCCTGATGAAAATGCAAACTATCTTCAGTAAAACTTTTCTTTATTTTTTTATAATTCTGACTCCGGGTCTTCATTCTTCATATCTGGTTCTGGGTCTTTGACTGTATACCCCTTACAGTTTATAGTAAGGATATGTGAAGTGTGTTAACAGAAGCATTATGAGAAAAACACATGGGTATGCAGTATGAACAATATAGACAGATATGTACAGTATGTATAGATATGTGCAGTTTAATAACAGTAACATTTTAAGAGTAGTGTGGGTATGTGTGTGGGGTTGCCCCAGTCAAAACAGCCCCATGGACGTGATTCATGCAGCTCAGGAGGCACAGGCAAGGAGGTGATGGCTGATAATTTAAATTATTAAAAATGATTCAAATATAGGCACATATGCACACATACACACACATTTACATTTTTTCCCCTTCTTTTTCATTTCCTTCTACATTAAACAGAATAATAACCCATCCAAAAAAGACTTATTAGTATAACTTAAGCCCAGGCACCATACTATAAAATACTGTCCCCTCGAGTCATTTTCGTATCCATTTCGTATCCACATGTGACCATATAATATTCCAATATATAAAGAATTGTGAGCTAGGTGTTAAATCATGCAGTTTTGGCTAATAAATCATGGTCAAAAACACTTAAACAAAACCGTTTTTCTTTATTTCACGTTATGTAGGCTAGGACTTTTGTACATATGGCTTCCGAACGAGATCACATTCATCTAGATCTGTAAATAAATAAAGGAACAATGTTAACCGCGATAGACATTGAGATGGTTTTTTTTCTCATTGCCTGTATAATTTCCTGATAATTTCCCCATCTCCCGTATAGTTGTTGTAGTAAATAAATAATTTAAAGTTCGTGGATAAATGTTACTTCATATGTATTCACTTGCCACATATCCAATTATTTCCAATTATTTCCAATTCCTCAAAAACTTTGTTGAAATATTTTGTCGCGTTGCTTTTATGGGCTCCATCTATCTATGCTATGGGCTGACTTCAGACAATAAAAGATTGCCTGCGAGCTTCTCCTCCTGTCCATACGGTAACTTCTCTGCTGTGCGACGGACAGTCGAGTGGTTATGACGCAATTTTTAGCCTATTTTTACTAAAACGGCTTCTACGGGGCCATAACGTAAGATACAAAGTAATGGAGCCTATACATTGTAGTGTTTCTTTAGAAATAAATAATGGACAAATGGAGTCTTTGGACGCCTCAGATGTAAAGTTATTCGCTGTCAAAGTGACGCCAAAATGAATGGGAGTCAATGGGATGCTAACAGCAGGTGATAGCCAGCTACAATGGCGCCCCCGGAGGCAGCTTCAACTTCCGGCTGATGGATTACCCCCTTGCAGTAGACAGGTGGAATGAAAACACCTACTTTTCTAGATCCAATCAGGTGCTAGTTGGAAGAGAAGCCACGCCCACTATTTTGCCTCATTTAGTATTCCGTTTCTCTCGGAAATACGTCACAACACTGGAGAAAAGTCGTTTGCAACTTCCGGTTCACCGGGACTTTAAATTGAGAAGAAACTGATGACTGAAATTATATCGATATCACTTCAATAGATTTCACAAGAAAGGAAAATATCTTGATCATAACACTACAATACTTGACAGATATATATTAATAGGAAACATGCATATATAACATATAGGAAATAATGTTTTTTGTGTGTGTTTAAATGTATGATAGATATATTACTTCAATCATTTTAGCAACAGATAACTCAGAAATTATATTTCAATGAACACATGAAAATCCATAATCTAAGCAGGTATGAATTTATTTCTTCCTTCTTCGTAAAATATATTGTGAACCACCAGACATTACTACATTATATTCAGGTTGAGTTCAAGAAAAAAATATTTCCACGAGAACGAATACTTATTCAGCACCGACACCTGTAAGAATGATGTTCTTATGCTGTTTTACAAAGTGTTTCAATGATCACATTTTTAAACACTAGCAGGTATAAAATAGATTCTTCTGTCTTAGTAAAACATTGTGAATGGAGCAGATGTGGTTGAGTTCAGGAAGAAAGTCTCACTGCAAGAACAATTAGTACAATCACAGCTCCTACAGCTACACCTATACCTGTAAGAATGATGTACTTATTCTGTTGTACAAAGTGTTTGAGCCCACTGTCTCTTCTCTCTTCAGATTCTCCTCTCACTCGTGTCTCTGTCTCTATTCTGTCTCTCTCTGATGCTATCTGTTGTTCTCTCTCTCTCTCTTTCTCCAGTCTCTCTTGTTCAATATCTCTCCTCACTCGTGTCTCTGTCTCTATTCTGACTCTCTCTAATGTCATTCTGTGTTCTCTCTCTCTCCTCTCCTTCTCTTCTCTCTCTCTCTCCTCTCTTCTCCTCTCAGTCTCCTGCATCATGTCTAGTGTGTAGCAGGAGTTTGTGTTCTCAGATATCAGTGTGTCGATCTTCTGCATGAGTTCAGTCACCTGTCGACTGTTTGCTGGAGCTTTAATGTTAAACTCATGATATCTCTGACCACATCGGTTAATAAAAGGAGATAATTGAGGATTCATCCTGATCATTTCTGCTAGTGTCCTCATGTGTTTCTGACCTGCATGAGTGAAGAGCACTAGAGTAAATCTGAGAGCTTCTGCACCAAACTTCTGCTCAAACCAACCAAAGAAATCCATCTCCTGCTCAGTGAAAGTGCTTAAAGGCAGAATAAGCAGGATCACATGAGCTCCTGCTGAACATAATTCAAGAGCTCTCTTCAGCTCTGAGTCTGAATCAAAGTCAGTGTGAGTGGAGAAGATGAAGTCTGGAGTATCAATGACTGTCACTCTCCTGTTATTAACAGCTCCAGTGTGTGTCTGACAGAATCTGGTCACCGATGAAGAGCTCATTACTGATTCAAACACTCGATCATTAAAGAGGGTGTTTCCTGTGGCGCTTTTCCCGGATCCGGTTTTACCGATCAACAGCAACCGGAGATCTTCATCAACATCATCTCCTTCTCCTCTCACCTCTGTGTTCTCAAAGCTCTAAAAACGCAGAACAACACAATTGATGTTAGATTAAACACCTACTGTACATATGCTTGTTAAAGTAGTAAAAGTGTTGTTCACCTGATATTTCATGGTCTCTGTTTGCTTCTTCAACAACACTTTCTCCAAGATGTATTCACCAACACTAAACACCAACAAAAACATTGCAGGGTTATACAATACAAATAGGCCAATTGAAGCAGGAAAGATCAACATGATTATTACATTTGATTTCTGTAAATTATTTGTTTCTGTTTTACAAATTTGAGGACCTAAAAACAAACAAAACATTCACAGGTTCACTCGTGGGCCGGATGGGCTGGATTTGTCCAGGGCCGAATTTCAGCCTCAGTCACCCTGTTAACTAATAACATTGTAGTAAAATAACATTGAAATCTGTAAATAGAAAGTGAGACGTAAATGTGAGCACTGCAGTGATAAGCTATTCAGTTTGTACGTTTGGCTATTATAGTTATCTAAAAAAAAGCTCTTTGACTGCTGATACAACAACAACCAATCAGCTGTGCCAGAGACAGTGTTGTAGTCGAGTCACCAACTGTCGAATCTGAGTCGAGTCTCGAGTCCCAGTGTTCGAGTCCGAGTCCAAGTCCGAGTCACCAAAGAAGAGTCAGAGTCGAGTCCAAGTCGAGTCACTACCTGAGTTCAAGTCCGAGTCGACTCTCGAGTCCCGTGTTCGAGTCCGAGTCGAAATTATATACACTTAAGCCAAATCAAGCAACATTTTTCAGGCACTCTTTCTTGCAGCTAGAAATGTGTATGATATCACTAGAATTGGCTTTGACCTTAGTTCAAATCATTGTCAACTAGCTGTGGCACAATTATATTTATTTAATTGTTTAAATACATTTTTGGATGATCAGTCAACTGGAATGGATAAAGAAAACAAAAAAGAAAGCCTAATTGGACAGAGGAGGAGAAATGCATTCTTCTTGACGAATATGGTAAAAGAAAAACAATTTTGAAATTTTGAAAAGCAAACTAAATCCCAATGTAACTGCGGCAAAAAAACAGAAAATGCAGTGCTATAACATTTACATTTACATTTAGTCATTTAGCAGACGCTTTTATCCAAAGCGACTTACAACTGAGGACTAAACCAAGCGAGACATCGTGAATAGACAAAAACAACGCAAGAAGTGCTCAAAATATAAAGTTCAGACATTGCTCGGAGTAGCATAAGCCAGATAAGCAAGGATTTTCAGGAAAGTTTTTTTTTTTTTTTTTTTTATAAGCAGTTGTTAGTCTGCAGGAAAAGAGTGGTTGCGATGTGTGACATAGTCAAGGTCGCCATCTAGTTTGTTAGCTAAAATAAACATAATTGTGTTATTGTATGATAAACGAGATTAAGCGCTGAGCGCGTCCGACTTTGGCTCAGCGCCAGCCATAGCACGAAAGCACAGTTTAAATCTGGCAGTTATGTCACGTCACTGTACATTCGCTCCTTAGTGGTCAGCTGCTGCAAAGCGAGCCAAAATCAAAATTTCTGATTAGATGAAGAGGAACTTATCTAGTGTTAAATGAGTGTTACGTTATTTCTCTCACGAGAATGCAGCGTAAAGTGATTGACGTCAGTGAGTGTGTTGTCAAGCAAGGAGAGCGAGCGGTAGCAGTATCTGTGAGGGAAAAAATAGATCACGGCCGGTCTTGGACCCCGAAACAGGAAAAGTGTAACATCTTATATCAAATTTTTATAACCTATTTAGTCAGAAACAACGTCATTCATTTGATGAATAGACTTCTATAATTCAATGTTAGGCTGCATAGATTAGGTCAGCCGTAACTGGGAACACTTCCCTTAAATCTTGATGTACTCGTTACATCATGAGAAGAATGGCATCTACGCTAATATGTCTTTGTTTATCCCGAGGTTTTCCCGCAGCCTGCCGGATCCAGGCCGTATCCAGATCTGACGAAGGAGATCCGCCTGGACCCGATGACAATGCAGTGCTGAAGTGTCAACTATCCTCTCCCTATGGAGGATCCCTTTCCCACTCTACAGATAAAGCGTTGTGAATTTCGGTTCGCGTACCCCGAAGTGATAAAATAAAACAAAATTCTGTATCAAAATTTATAGGCAAGACAAGTAGTTTGTTTAGGCATGGGTTGTATGGAATTACAAACCTGCGCACATATTTTCAAAAGCACATAACTATAGAATCAATTCTGAATGTGCATGTGAACGCCGTCAGCGTTAATCACAGGTTCGCGTTTAAAGTCTGATCATTTCGACGGAGGTGAATCAATCAAAATTAACTTTAGCTGGAAATCTAATTATTCAAGAACCGCTATAAAGCCAAAACAATCTCTGTTACCTTAAATTATATGTTTATCTATGTAAAGCTGCTTTGAAACAATCCATTGTTAAAAGCGCTATATAAATGAAGATGACTTGACTTGACATGAATGCTCAAGTCCGATTTTATATATTCTCGAGTCCGAGTCCAAGTACTAGTCATCAGTCCGCGAGTCCAAGTCGAGTCACGAGTCCAGAGAATGGAGTCTCGAGTCGGACTCGAGTCCAGAGAATAAGGACTCGAGTCCGAGTCCAGGACTCGAGTACTCCATCACTGGCCAGAGATAACGATGAGATGCTAGCAGATTGAGCTAAAGACCAATCAGCTTGTGCCATTTGTGAATGTTGTGAGTTGTGAATTTCGGTTCGCGTACCCCGAAGTGATAAAATAAAACAAAATTCTTTATCAAAATTTATAGGCAAGACAAGTAGTTTGTTACCTTAACAATCTAAACAATTGTAAAACAATCTCTGTTACCTTAAATTATATGTTTATCTATGTAAAGCTGCTTTGAAACAATCCATTGTTAAAAGCGCTATATAAATGAAGATGACTTGACTTGCCATCTCGAGTTTCAAGACAGAACTTTGTATTAATACAGTATCAGAGGTGGAAAGTCCAGGGGTCAGAAAGTAAAAGTCCTGCCATATTTTTATTCCACCCACAGCAAAACCTCCAGTGTTAAATGAACTTTACTGGGAGTTTATTTGGATCCAGACTCAAGAGTGTTAAAGTGAATGAGATAATTAAGTGAATAATTGAGTGATGATGGAGATATTATTGAAGACACCAGATGTTAACTAGCAGAATCACTGAAGGAGAAAATCTATATTTTAGTCACCGTTATGGTGATCAGTGTTTGCTTTAGTTGGGCAGGTGACCTTTAAATGTGTAAATAAAGATTTTGTTTGGCTGTTTTAACAGCTGGATGAACAAAGAGATCAGATCAGATCAGATGTTCTAGATCATGTTTAGACATAATCATCATTTGACCTGAATCACTGAACTCATTTAAAGCCTACTTTCTGACTTAAATGTAAAATGATCATAACAGTCACACAGTGATTCTATAACATTAGATCCAGATTTTTCAAAATAAACCAAATGATATCTTAAACGTTGTTCTGAGAAATAAAAATCTTTCTTTTAGGCACACACAGACATCAAGATTCAGTGTATGAATCTCAACAATGGTGACAAACAGAATATTCAATTAGGAAAAGGAAATTACTAAGACAATTCAGATCATAATTTATTCATACCGCATTGCATGATGGGAGCCATGAATGAGTTTTGATTGGTGGCACCCAGAATGCACTGCAACATGCTATATAATTGTCACCATTGTTGAGAATCACAGGCTGATTCTTGATGTCTGTGTGTGCCCATATAGTATTTATAATAGAACAGCTTTTAAGAAACCTTTTGGATATTTAAATTTCTGAAAATGTTTTACTGTGTAATCAAAAGGTTAAACTCTACAAATGAGTTTTGTGACAAATGATGATTATGTCAAAACATAACCTCGCCCAGCATATCAGCTTTCCTTGTTGTTCATCTGGCTGTTATAACTCATGTACAGCAGCCAAACAACATCTAAAGTTAATGATTTAAGGGTCAAGAGTCCAACTAAAGCAGTCGAAAATTTCGTCGACGTCATATTTTTTTGTCGACGCTTCTTTATTTATGTATTTATTTTTTTGCACCGTTCCCGGCGGTACAGCTCGCCACACACACGTGGGAGACCGAAACATTGCAGAATCGAGGACGAAACAGCAACCGAATTCACAACAAAGCCATGCAAAAGTCACATCAAAAGAAAAAGTCCTAAAAAAAACAGCTCGCACTAAATCATCAAAGGTATGGGAATACTTCAAATTTAGTCCCAAACGTAAATGTGTCGTTATTTGTGCTCTTTGTCAAATGGAGTTGACATCCCAAGTCTCCCGCATATTGATAGCGGCTCCCTGATGCCCGCAAATTAGTTAAAATCTCCCGGAGTCTAGAGCTCGCGAGCTCCAAACCGTGTAGCGCGCGGCAGAGAGAGAGAGAGCGAGAGACCTTGCGTGTGTGTGCAAATGTGCGTGTGTTCCTTATGAAGCGCATGTAAACCCCACCCCCGTCAACAAAACCGAAAAATCAGTCCGGATGTTTTTTATGAGCACTGAAAACATTAAAATGAGCACCACATCCAAGTGTGATAGGGCTCATTTGAGTAGCCGACCAAACATTTTACAGTGTAGATACTCCGTAAGAACCAGATCAAAATTGTTGTGGCTTGAATGTGCACTCCTGCAATTTCCATGTTACAAAAAAGAATCGTTCAATTAGTCGTTAGATTAGTCGACTAATCGATAAAATAATCGACAGACTAATCGTTTGATTAATAATCGTTTACCCCAGCCCTAGTGTAACGCTTCACAATTCAGTTTTCAGACAATACAATGCAAATGCAAAAAAGAAAAATTGAAACCAGATATTCATTTTTCTTGTTTTTCCAGTTACATTATCAATGGATAGTTGCATTTTTCTCAACTTTTTTCAATTTTACTTGTGCTAAATTTTTTCCATTTAATTAATATTGCTATTTATTATTTATTTCTTTTAATTTTGGGCTAGTCCTATTGAAGGTTCCATGTTAGGTCTAAATAATGAAATGTAATATAAAATTAAAAGAAAGAAATAATTAATAGCAATATTAATTAAATGAAAAAAAATGTAAATATAGCTGCGAGCAGCGATTACGGGCCCAAGCCGGTGGCACCGCTACCCCGGTGCCTTTAGTTCCCTACCTAAAGGGAACCGGGGTGGCGGTGCCGCCGGCTTTTGTGGCAAAAAAATTTACACCGGTGTGGTGAAGTGCTGGGTCCCACTGAAGTTTTGGCCCCATTTTGCTTGGCTGTGTGCACGGCTTTTGTTGTACCAGCGCGCGCGGCGACGCGTCCGAGGATGAACGACTTCAAGCCGAATCTGCCCGAGCATGTACGTCTCACCGCACCGGCACCCAGTTTGCGCGTCTAAATTGCAAAGTTTTTTTTAATGTTTTGTTTACTGTGTGTGATTTATTTAATGGAAAGCACATTCACTTGTAGTTGTCTTGCTGTTAATTTAAAATAAACGTAGAGCAAGTGGCTAATCAGTGTCTGCTCATTTATTCAAGTTGTTCTATAACAGACGAACGTCGCTCTGCATACGTCATCTCCTTCATCGCTCTGATTGGTTTTAGGTCTATCCAATTGCGCCCAGAGGCATTTGAGCGACGTCCGTTGGTGACACCCCTTTGGAAATGATTTTTCTATGAAGCTTTGCCAGACCATAACTCAGTTACTACTGCAAATGTAATGTAAGCGGAATGAAACCACTCGTTCCCAGCCAGCACAGCCATGTGGGGCCCACATGGGTTTGACGTGGGCTATCTAACTGGGACCCAGCCAGTTTTGCTCCCAGTTTCCATGTAGGCCCCACATGGGTTTGCCCAGATGAAGTGAACACTGCTCAGTGTGCACACTACAGGCTGTTAAATGTAACACTGATCAGTGTTGGAGTTAATGAGATAATTAAGTGATTGAATATGATTGAGCATTATTGATGAACACCTGGTGTTAGTAAGCAGAATCACTGAAGAAAAGAGAAACACAAGAGCTACTTCCAGTCACAGCCTTAGATGAAATCAACTGAAGATAAAATACACGAAATCTCTCAAGATCTGATTAAACAACTCCACAAACAGCATTACCAGCTTCACTTATTACCAACCAGGTTGCCTTTAATTCTGTCAGACGTCTGCAGAAGTTCTTATTGAAAATTAACAGAGGTTAAAATGTTGATTATTGAAATCAACATATGATTATTGAAAATAATAGTTTGGTTTGATGTTACTTACCATTATGGTGATAAGTGTTTGCTTTAGTTGGGCTCTTGATTTTTTAACATCAGTTTTTCTCTGCTCAGTTGTATCAGATTGTTATGTTGAGAACACCAAGAGAAAATGCAATCAGAATCTATAAACTGATTGATGATTAGAATATAATCATCATGTAGGGGTGATCAGAACTAGGGCTGGGCGATATATCGCATGACATTGTTATGCGCATTTCATCAGTAAAACCGGTTCCTTGATTAGTAGTAAATCACCCTCACCTGCTTTCAGATGGAAGATATGACGCAGATATGAGTGTTAAATTAACACTCAAGAGTGTTAAAGTTAATGAGATAATTAAGTGATTAATTTAGTAATGATTGAGCATTATTGATGAACACCTGGTGTTAACAAGCAGAATCACTGAAGGAGAAAATCTAAAATTGTAAGCCACCGTTATGGCGATCAGTGTTTGCTTTAGTTGCTCTTGACACTTATACTTTCACTTTAAATTTTGTTTGTCTGCTGTTATTGATTTATAACAGTCAAATGAACAAAGAAAAGTGTGATCTGGTTGTGTTGGTTATGTTTTGGCATAATCATGCTGTGATCTGAAAAACGATACTTATTGAGATTATCTGGTTTAACTTGTTAACAGCGCTTTGTGATTCTACAGCGTATGATTATCAGTATTTTTTTTTTTAATCTAAAATATTTCATAAACATTGTTCTGATCAAAATACTTTCAAATGAAATTATTTAGAAACACAGACATCAATAATCAGCCGGTGAATCTCAACAATGGTGATAATAATAATGCATGTTGCAGTGGCTGCCACTAATCACAGCTCATTAATGGCTCCCATCATGCATTGCGGTATGAATAAATTATGATCTGAATTGTCTATGTAATTTACTTTTCCTAATTGAATATTCTGCTCGTCACCATTGTTGAGATGCATTGACTGAATCTTGACGTTTGTGTGTGCCTAAAAGAAAGATTTTTTTTAAACAACTTTTAAGAAATACTTTATAGTATATCTAAAATTCTGGATATTTATGCAGTATCACAATTATGCTGTAACCCAACAGCATTAATCACAAACATAAAGTTGAAATGATGATTGTCATAATATAACCAACACCATTACATCACTTTTGTTTTTTTATCTGTCAGTTATAAGTCAGAAACAACAGCCAAACAAAATCTAAAGTTAATAACATAAGGGTCAAAAGCCCAACTAAAGCAAACAATGATCGCCATACCGGTGGCTTACAATTTTCTCCTTCAGTGATTCTGCTTTAGTTGTCTTCAATAATGCTCAATCATATTCAATCACTTAATTATCTCATTAACTCCAACACTGATCAGTGTTACATTTTACAGCCTGTAGTGTGCACACTGAGCAGTGTTCACTTCATCTGGGCAAACCCATGTGGGGCCTACATGGAAACCGGGAGCAAAACTGGCTGGGTCCCAGTTAGATAGCCCACGTCAAACCCATGTGGGCCCCACATGGCTGTACTGGCTGGGTTATTTTGTGGTTGACGGACCGTTTATCAGTTTGGACCAACGCAGGCCGATCTTGATCATCAGCACTGTTACTACACAGCCAAATCCAGTAAAGAAAAAACTTGAATTCGCCACTGAAGTAATAACATCGCTGCGAGATCTAGTGAGAAACATTCGCATTTCTCCGTTATTAACGGATCAAACAACGGTGACGTGGAAACCAGGAAGAAACATTATGCCATGAATGAACTATCCAGTGTCCACAGATCTGCAACATTCATCATGGATTTACTGTAGTAACACTACTAACTGTAACCATGGGAGTTTGGCAGGAATTGTAGGCTATAATGCTTTCAAGTAACATTACGTCGGTTTTATTTTGACATTATGAATACAATTGCTGCCCTCAAATGTTAATCTGAACTAAAATAAACCTTTGTTTATAACTACTACAATATTACATTTAATTTTGTCCAAGGAGCTGTTTTGTTTTATAAGCTCCTAAGAAAAGTCAAGTATAGCTCCATCATTGCTCAAAGTTAAAAAATAGCATACTTTATGATGTTAGTATTAATAAAAATATAATAAAAAAAATTAAATCAAGGAAATTTCTTTCTTATTGCTGTATCGGAAACGTACCGAATCGTACCGAACAGAACCGTGACACAAGTGTATCGTATCGAACCGAACCGTGAATTTTGTGAACCGTTACACCCCTGAGAGAGAGAGAGAGAGAGAGAGAGAGAGAGAGAGAGAGAGAGAGAGAGAGAGAGAGAGAGAGAGAGAGAGAGAAAGCCTTATACTCATGTTGAAGTTATATACAACCCATATGCAGTAGTCTGTTCAATATAAAGGCCAACTAACAGATTTTTTAACCTTCCATAAGCTTGAGATTTACATAATTCATAATCTTTTTTATAAATTATTTTTATATTTACTTTTTCTAGACTTTAGGTTTCGTCAGCGTTGTTTGTTGATGTCATTTATTAGCACAGCTGTTTATGCTCTCGATGTTCAGTATTTGCATTCATGTTAATCTCGTCCCATGTTTAATTTTGTATAACCTTATATTTTAAAGGATCACAAAACCGTATAGGCAAATAGGCCGATTAAAGTTCTGGTTCGTTTTACGTTAGTATTACCCAAAACCGAAAGCATATGGAGACCTAAACCTTAAAACAAAAACATTTCTGTAACATGTCCTATTATGTATTTAAGATTTCACATATACTTTCAGTAGCTTACAATGAATTTGTTAAATATACATTGACATGAATATAAACTTACCGATACGATCACAAACAGTCGATGTAAGATGTCTTCCGTCAGAAAGGAGCTTGCACAGAATGTCCGTATTGAAATGTTCCTTTCACTTTCAACAGTGGCTCTGAATCCTGTGACGCTGTTTGTCTTCAATAGGAGGCGCTGTGATTCCATCAGGTGAAGCAGCGACGACTGAAATAACTAAATCCTTTAACATATCATCAAAGCCTTATCATTAAGCTTTAAACTTTGTCTGAGGCATTAAAATGGTCTGTGGGTAAATCTGGCCTGAGTGAATGAATAATGTGGACTACAGGCAGTCAGTGGTTATGGCCACACTCTAAAAAGAGATGTGTTAAAAATAACACATGTTAGTGAGTGTGCTTAGGGACAAAACATGTTGTGTCAAATTTAACACAATAAATGTGTAAGTCATTTTAACACACAAATTGTGTCAGGTTTACATACTCAGATGTAATTTTAAAAGTAAAGCGAAAGGGGCAGATGTAAAAATATGAACCATTTAGGTAGCCTACTCAATATTTGAGTACAGAATGCATGTGCATGTAACAGAGTTAAAAATGCACTTTATTAATTCAAATTTCTAATTTATGTTTAATTAAATTTTAACCATATTTGAATTATCATTTAATCATTTGTTGGGTATTTGTGAATTTTATCTTATTGAGTTTAATTAATTTAACATATTGCTATTGTACCTCCTAAGTCCTAACTGTACGTTCACACCGTCGCCGACTTGAGCTTCCAAACTACCGGAAGTCATTCATTTTCAATGGAACCCTGTCAACACACCGATGAGGGGCCCATAAGGGTTGGATATGGGCTGGTGAGTGGGCCCTATCTGGGCTGCCCAGATGGGGCCCAGTTAATTTTGTCCGGGGGTTCCATGGTGGCCCCATGTGGGCAAGCCCAGATGGGCTGAAGGTGGGCTTCACATGGGCCCTAGCTAAAACCCACATGGGCAAGCCAGGTTTCTCCCATCTGGGGCCCACACTAGCTGGGCCCCATGTGGGCTGATTATGGGTCCCTGCTATTCTACCCATATGGGTAATAACCGTTATTATTATGGGCAAACAAATTCATTTTTGGGGCTTATTTTACAGTCAGCCCATACAGTTCTTTAACCCTTGTATGTTAATAGTTTTGTTTACACAGCCAATATTCCCGGGTCTGGTGGACCCACCACATTATTAGGCTTTTAAATCAGCCATAACAATTTATGTAAAAATATTTAACAGATGTTTACTTTAGCTCAATATTACCAATGTTATATACATAACTTATGGTTCATATTCACCATTTACCCCTGTGAGATCACAATTATGATCATATGATCTTTTTTTTTTTGTGAGAAAACAAGGAAATTCAATTATATATATTAAAAAAATAGAAACAAGATTTTTGATCATTATTGGTGCTCATTTCTTATAACTTAATCAGAACAGGTGAAAGTGCTTGAAATGTAACAATTTTGTAACTTTGTGTGGGAATAGCAGGTGCAGAAAGACAACATTTGCGCACACAGACAAGACACACAGCAGGCCTAGTTAGGAGGAGGACACAGTTAAGTTTCATAGCACCAACAATTAATGTAATAGTTGTGTAGGAGGGTGTACCATGTGCAGTCATTGAAAATAAGTTCTTTTTTATGTTCTTCACAGAAAATGAGCCAGGGCCAATGAGTTTGAGTTAGAAGAAATAATATATACCATAACTTTTTCTTTTTGCAAACATTGAAAAAGGGTCCCACAGACCTAAACACCTTGGGTTAATAAACAAGCTATAACAAAGAGACCAGTAATACAATTAATTACGCTTTTATTAAATTAAAATTTAAAACAACATGCTTTTGCACAGTGTTCCCTCACTGTCACAGACAGAATTAGTTTATTTCCACCTCAAATGAGCGTTTTTCATTAAGCCTCTTTCAAGAAACAAATATAACGGTCACTTACTTCATATGTGCCAACACAACTCTCAGCCAGGACTGTAAAGACAACTATGTTAAGAAAAGCGCTATATAAATTAAGATTATTATTAGAAATACACACATTCTCTTGAACACAAGCTACGCAACTGAGAGACATGTGCGAACACACTGCTCAGCCAGGACAACAAACGCCCCATTCACAATATTTAAAATCGACATGTTTATAATGTTAGGGTATTGTGACACCTTGGTACAACTTAAAACATTATCCACATGCGTACCTACCATATGTTACTTCATACAGTTTTAAGGCCTTGAACTCTCCCTTCCCATTTCGGCCCAGAAAGTTATACTGCCTGGAAAGGCCATGGTCTAGGAGGAAGGTCATCATCCTTTTTGTGGCCTCGTCAACAGTCCAACTCGTCATTTGCTTTTCTCTCCACTGTACCGAACTCGTACCGAACCGTGATGTCTGAACTGACCCGTTACTTCTGTGTACCGTTCCACCCCTAGTGTGATCACACTTGAGAAGTTTCAGATCAAATTCACTGCAAGCCCCCCAATAAAATTGAATTGAGTTTCATTACCCTAGACTTAACATACATACCAGTTCGGACATGAAGTTTGAGTTTGACAGTTTCTCTTCCATGATTTCCACATCCCTAACTGTCTTTAGGGCAGTGGTTCTCAACTCCAGTCCTCGGGAGCCACTGCTCTGCATATTGTGTATGTCTCCCTTATTTAACACACCTGATTCAGATCCTCAGCTCGTTAGGATAGACTCTATGACAGGGGTCCTCAACTCTGGCCCGGAAGCGAATTTTTTTTTTGCAGGGTGGTAGGGGAAGACTCATTAATATTCATTGGGGAACTGATCCGCAATTGGTTCGCTGTCACACGTCACTCAGATTGACGTGGCAGATCAAGACGGTGTCCCCGCAAAGATACAGAAGTTTGCGAAGTTCGTGAGCGGTCTCCGCACAAATCTTCCGGATTTGGATAACCAAATGTTGACGGGTATGCCTTACCTTCGCGAAAGTGTCTGTTGTCACGAAGGAGACGATGTCTGTTTTCTCTATCACACCTCATTAGAGATGCGTCACGGCGAGCCAATCAGGGATCAGTTCCCCAATGAATATTAACGAGTCTTCCCCTACCACCCTGCAAAAAAAAAAAATCGCGGCCCGGAAGATCCACTTTCCTGCAGAGTTTACCTACAACCCTAATCAAACTCACCTGAACAAGCTAATCAATGTCTTCATGATTACTACACCTTACAGCAGTGGTTCCCAAACCTGTCCTGGCGACACCTCAACACTGCGTGTTTTCTTTGTCTCCCCAATCAAACACACCTGATTCAACTCATCAGCTCATTAACCCATGTGATTATGAGCTAATGAGTTGAATCAGGTGTGTTTGATTAGGGAGACAAAGAAAACACGCAGTGTTGAGGGGTCGCCAGGACAGGTTTGGGAACCACTGCCTTACAGGAACACAGAAAAATTCCCAGTGTTAAATCAACACTGCTCAGAGTACATATTGTCCCAATCTAAAGAGTGTTAAAAGTGGTAAAGTTAATGAGATAATTAACTGATTAATTAAGGGATGATTGAGCATTAGTGATGAACACCTGCTGTTAACAAGCAGAATGACTAAAGAAAAGAGAAACCCTATTACAACTGACTTCAGCCAGAGTCTTAGATGAAATCAACTGAAGACATTAAATCTCTGAAGATATCAGCAGAGGAGGATTAAACAACTCCACAAACAGCATTACCAGCTTCACTTATTACTAACCAGACTGACTTTATTTCTGTCAGACTTCTACAGAAGTTTTAGAAGTTTTCAGAAGTTTTGTACATTGAGAATTAACAGAGGTTTAACTCTTTCATTTGAAGTCACCATAACAGTGATTAGTGTTTCCATTAGTTGGGCTCTTAACTCTTATGGTGTGTTCACACCGAACGCGAATAGAGCGTCAAATAAGCGTCTATCGCGTCTAGTTAGACGCTTGAACATTCGCTCGAGTTCAAACTTTTCAACTTGCGCGGAAGACATTCGCGGCAAACGCGCCGCCCAATTCGCATCATTCGCAACGCGAATAGTGGTGAAGTTAACGACTCATCGGCCAGCGAGCTTACTCGGGAGATTGTTGCGTCTGTGGAGGACAACGGCTTAGACCTTTCCAAGTGCAGAGGGCAAGGGTACGACAGTGCCGCAGATATGCGCGGCATATACAGTGGTGTCCAAGCAAGGATAGCTGCCAAGGAGCCAACTGCCGTGTATGTACACTGTGCCTCACACAATTTGAATCTCATCCTTAATGATGCGGTGAAGATACAAGAAGTAAGACAGTTCTTTGACATTGTTGAGCGCATTTATGTGTTCTTTGGGCACAGCATAAAGAGATGGGCAATGCTCTCAAATAAAACACACAGTGACGACACAAACAATGACTCCAACATAACACAATAACGCAGTAACCGCTCTGAGATATCGGTACAGTGTTGTGATGAAGGCATTGGCAAAACTTTCACTGACAAGCAGTAAGAAAGATGAACGGGACGAGGCTGCATCGTTGAAACAGGCAATTGAGAAATTCTCATTTGTTTGTCTTGTTGTCCTCCAAAGCAAAATCCTGGAACGAACTAATGTGATATCAAAACTTCTACAATCCCAAGACATGGATCTGGCTACAGCAGTCCAGCTACTGAACAGCGCCATCAGAGACCTAACTGCGTTACGAGAAAATTTTGAAGATGCCAAACAAACAGCGAAGAGCTTTTCAGAGAAGTGGGGAGTGAGCAAGACATTTGAGAACACTCGGTTGAGAAAAGTGAAAGCGCATTTTGATGAGCTGTGTCAAGATGAACGTTTAGCAGATGCTGAGTCTTACTTTCACGTCCATGTGTTTAATGCCTGCCTTGATATTGTCATCTCTCAGTTGACCCAGAGATTCGCCGGTTTACGATCAACAGTTGACAATTTCAAAGTTTTACTGCCCGAGACTCTTTGCACTGCAACAGATGATGAACTATTTTTGCAAGCAAACAGGCTGGTGGAGATTTACAGAGATGACATTACCACTGATTTCCCAATGCAATTGTTA